ACTTATAATATACTATAAGTATAACATATACTTATGGAATAAAACAAGTATCAACTTCTTAATTGCAACATCATTTCACACTTTCAAATCCGATCCAGGTTTGAGATTTAGCATGGATGCCAAGCCTTTAAACAGCACCTCTAAGGGAAACCGGTTGTCTCTGATTTTATCCATGGCTATTTTGAGAATGAGCTATGGATACCAGTTTATTGCAGTGTTAGACTCTAGCCAAGTCTTTGGGCCAAAATGCATGCCCACAGGCCGCTGTGAAGGATTAGGGTAAATAGACAAAAGCCCTGCAGTTTTCAGCTCCCTCCTCTGACAGAAGTGGTGACAGAAGGGTGGGGATAGGTGGGGGGGGCGAAATACCCAGAAACCCAACGAGTGACCGGTGTACTTGTGCCTACCCTCGTTTCTCCATTGAAGAGTTCATCAGAGTCGTACTTGGCAACGACTTTGTTGGAGTCAGTCGGCTGTTGTAACAAAATGAGAAGATAAATTAACATTGATAATGCAGTCAACTTTGCATAATCAAGACTGCACCTTTTGCCATAGTTTACCTTATTTTCAACTTTTGTTCCACTTTTTTAAAATGGATCCAATTCACTGATTGCATGAATCAAAATCCAGCAGAGTCGGACATGATTGAAAAAAGGAGAGATTACATTCCATCTCATTAACTTTTACAGTCACGACGATACACTTTCAGATCATTCTGAGCCTAGACACCCCCGAAAGGGCACTTTACTGCCTCATTGGTTTATATGCTGATGAGATTTCCATATTCATGAGATTTACCTATTCATGAGCAAACCTGTGATGTCATCTCAGGAAGAAGCCTCAGTATTGCACTGGTTTGTACACAAAACGTCCTGCATTTTTGTAGATTTTCCTGGACTCAGTTTTCTCCTTTGCTGATTTATTGTTGTTTATGAACATAGTAATAAGAAACCATCAGCCCCTCTCTCAAAAATGATTTCGGTTTCCAAATTTTGCACTGAACCATGTCTTCCCTAGGGTCAAGTTCGGGCGGCCTGTTCTTGGCACGGGTTTCTTGTTCTCGCACTCGAACGGCGGGAACACGACTCAAGAACACTGTTCTCGGAAACAGGATCACACACCACCCCCTCGTCAGGGTTTTACAGGAACACACGGTAAAACTCGTGAGGTTTTGATTTTTGAACAGCAGCAAAAAGTAGAGAGATGGCTTCCAAAGCCATAGACAATGGGAAGTTTTCCAAAATTAACATTAATTATTTTCCGTAACACAGAAATGAATGTTCCTGTTTAGATAGAAAAGAATTCAGCCCATCCAAACATTAACTCTCGAATAACGTAGCCTACATGGATGCCGCCGTGTTGCATGTTGCTTGTCACTAACTACCAGCGATAACCGGTTGTTTGTTCCCGGCGTTCGAGCGGCCGACCCACCAACAACAAATCGAGCTGTTCGTGAACATACGAGAACAAGCTGCCCGAACTCAGCCTAGGTGACTTCACAGCAACAGCGCCCTCAGTTGTCCAGGAAAGCATGGGTAAGTTTAATTGTTTCGAAGCATGCACTTTTCAATGAATTTAACCAAATAGGAAAGTAAAAGAGTTTTCAAACATTGAGGATAAATACAAAGTTGAAGAAAAATTGTGCGCGCAAAAGATTCACTGCAACCACACTTAGGATATCTATTGGTCAGCAGACATTCAGTCAACGTCAAAATTCATCAAGTGTCCCTACAAACACNTTTAGCCACAGTTTACCTTATTTTCAACTTTTGTTCCACTTTTTTAAAGGTTACTTTACTGCCTCATTGGTTTATATGCTGATGAGATTTCCATATTCACGAGATTTACCTATTCATGTGCAAACCTGTGATGTCATCTCAGGAAGAAACCTCAATATTGCATTGGTTTGTACACGAAAATCCTGCATTTTGGTAGATTTTCCTGGACTCAGTTTTCTCCTTTGCTGATTTATTGTTGTTTATGTGCATAGCAATAAGAAAGCATCAATCCCTCTCTCAAAAATGATTTCAGTTAGTAAATTCTGGGTTCACAATTTGAACAGAAACACCTTTGCACTGAGCCATGTCTTCCCTAGATGACTTCACTGCAACAGCGCCCTCAGTTGTCCAGGAAAGCATGGGTAAGTTTAATTGTTTTGAAGCATGCACTTTTCAACGAATTTAACCAAATAGGAAAGTAAAAGAGTTTTCATACACTGAAGAAAAATTGTGTGCGCGAAAAATTCACTGCAGCCACACTTTAAATCTTAGGATATCTATTGGTCAGCAGACATTTATAACGGGTTTGCCCTTACCCAACGTATATTGATAAACACTGTATGATCAGTGCTTGTCTGAGAGCTTCCGAAAAAATTCACAAGCTTACTCAGGTGGGACTCGAACCCACGACCTCCTGCTTACCAGTGAAGATGTCTTAACCACTCGACCACCGAGCTTGCTGTGGTCAGCTGGCCCCAGTAAGCTTGTGAATTTTTCGGAAGCTCTCAGACAAGCACTGAGCATACAGTGTTTATTAATACATACGTTGGATAAGGGCAAAACCCGTTATAAATTAACATCTCCCCAACGCAAAATACATCTTGGGTCAGCAGACAATCAGTCAACGTCAAAATTAATTTTTTTTTCTAAAGTTTTATCAAGTGTCCCTACAAACATGCTACGAGATGTACACGTAACACAAGAACAGAATCCACACAGAAAACATAAGTAACAGACCAACTCTGGACACCTCTGAACAGCAAATCTTGCAAAATGAACAGAAAAAACAAGAAAACAAAAGGGAGATAACTCCTCAGTCACTCAACTCAAACTCACCCGCCACACTGGAGGGCACATCTTATTAGCATCATCAGTTCCAGCGTGAATATCGCGTAACCCCAGCGCACGCTGAATGAGGTGGGTCATGGGTGTAGCAACAGAAAACGCATGGACAGGCACACCTTCAAGTAATCACATCAAATACAAGTATTTCACCTGATGCAATGTAATTGTACAAACAGCCTGAAGAAACAGCTTAACATTTTACCTGATGCATTATATTGGTTATTCGAATCACGGGAAAAATCTCTCCTTTTTCATTAACTATCAGGGTTCCTTCAACTAATTCCAGTGGCAAATTGTAGACCTTTCCAAAGCTCAGTGGCACATTCTTCGTATTTTGAGATTTTCTCAAGGGGTATCAAGTCCCATCAAACATCACAGTGGACTGCTCTACCTTCCTGAGGCCTGCCACTCCTCAGGAAACCTCCTGGTGGACTGTGATGAAGGTCAGGGTTTTAATGTGCGTGAACAGGGATCACTCCGTTGGATACCAGACTAAAAGGACAGGACCCCCTAACGATAGACCGTTCTTTCAACCATTACAAGTTACTCTGCCACAATCTGAGTGAGCTTTGAATCAGTACAAGCTACTGGTATGCCAGCATTTCTTGACTTCAGGAGGGTGTCATCTCCGATCAAACCAATTGACAAGGAATTTGTGCCTGATTTTACCAAGATGTAAAATCCCAGAGCAAAAACTTCACCAGATATGTTAGTACAACGTGCCTTCAAAATCAAATTTTGTAACATTTGAGGGCGACATCTTTATTTTGATTGGCATGATTTTCAGAAATCAAGCATAAGCTAGAAAATAAAAAACCCAAGCGTTAAACGGCTTGCCTGCACACATGTGGTCGGTCAGTCACTCACCGAGATCGGTCAGCGCGGTCGGCATATGTCCGTTGGGCACCGTCGCCAGTGTGGACCGGCGGATGAACAGCGAGATGTTGTTGGCTTGGAGCTTCTCTTTGCCTTCCTGCAGGGCCCTGACCACACCCTGAGGAAAGACAGACAAAATACGGAGGGATGCGCTCGTGAGGAGAAATCAGAGACTAGAGAAAGGCCACATTTTTTTAACTGCATTGAAACCTTGGAGTGGGCGATGACATACTTCACTTGAAAGAAAAAATGGAACAGAATTAATAAGT